ATCTAAATACTTGGATGGATCTGCTTTACGCCCTACCTAACGGAACGTGACATGACTGTCCTTGCCTACTGATGGTGGTCAGAGGGTCCGGTGATGCATGGCAGCCCCACCTCTGTCAGTGTGCCCCAGGGCAGCTGTGGCTACAGTGTAGTTTGCCATCATCAGTGTGTGAATGTGAGTGTGAATGGGTGAATGTCTGTTAGTGTAAAGCGCTTTGGGGTCCGGAGGGACTTGAAAAGCGCTCTATAAGTTCAATACCATTTACCATTTTACAACTGAATTTAAAAACAGGATGATGCAACTATTTTAATGAAGAATCTGTCTCCAGTCATTAAATCAGGTGTTTATTTATGTAGGTAAAAGTATCTTAAACAGCCTGTTAAAATACACTAGAAATCAGGAAATAGCCTCTACATTATTCAAAACTTTCTGGGGGAGGACCCCCCAGACCCCCCTCCAGTGTGTCCTTTACACAAATTATAAGACTTATGTGAGAGAATAAAGCAACACACCTGTGCTCCACCTGTGTGTCTCTGTATGAAATATGGCTGATTATCAAACTGTATTCTCAGTGAGTTTAAAGGACTGGTACAGTACACGGTTGAATGAAGGTGAACATAATCTCAGTTATGGTTTGAGTATTATTGCATCACAACAGAAACATTTGGTGTTCAGTTGTTGATGAGTGCAGACAGTTAAACTGAGCACACACTGAAGACATGAACAACAGAAAAACGTGGTCGCACAACTGTGGGTGTGTCAGACCCCGCCCCCCACAGTGCGTCCCCACCAACTTTCAGCACAAAGTTACGCCCTTGGTGACAACAACTACAGAAACTGTAAATTTGCCACCAACCTCAAATCTCTGAGTCATTTTTTTAAAACTGGTTAACTTGAACAAGTCTTTTAAATAAGACCGTGGGTGGTGCATTTCCTCTGGCTGACTCTCCATGCTGGAATCCATTTTGGGTGTGCTGAAGTGATGTGGAATCACCCTGCTCTTGGGTCTAATGATATTTTCTTGCTTTGCAGTGGTGGATCAATTACAGCAATTCCTGCCATTGATTACTTTCAAACCAATAAAACAAATCAATAAACTGTAATGCGACGTGATGTGAATCTAATTTGTAATGCAACACATTACAGAAATGTAGTGGAGTAGAAAGATACTTAAAATGYAGTGGAGTAAAAGTCAAAAATCTACTTAAAGTAAAGTACAGGTGCCTGAAAAATGTACTTAAACACAGTAAGAAAGTACTTTATTACATCCCATCACTGCCTTCCAGGCATGCTGCAGGAGACCCAGGGCAGACACAGAAACTGTCTTTCAGCTGGAGCAACTTGGAGTCCTTCCAGAAGAGCTGGAGGAGGAGGCTRATAGAGAAGTCTGGGCCTCCCTGCTGTACTGCCTCTAAGACACAATTCTGGAACAAGGGAAAGATAAYGGATGGTAAAATTACATCCATACACTACTGACCAAGTTTTATAATCTTATATCAGCCAAAAGTATTTTTGATCTTGTTTTGAGACTGATTTACTAAACAGGAACTGATTGTGTAAGAATAAC